TTATAGACTGCTTGATTTTATTACGTAATTTTGATATGTTTATGTAAAGCTTGATTAGTAGAAAGTAGAATCCTTCTCTTTGTTTTGCAATTTATTGAGCTGGAGAAAAGCTCTGTTGTATATCCTTTCACCTTTGTTTTTCCCTGAATTGCACCAAGGTTTGAGATTTTGCTTCGAAACCACGTCAGCAATTTAGTGGCTGCAAGCTTGGGCTGACAAAATATAATTATTTTCGGAAAAGCAATATTCGTAATTCTAAATCTTCGGTAAATGTCGGAAGGTCTTTAAAATTGGATTTGTTAATTCTGAAGTCAAAGTAGATTTCAGGCCCAAATGGAGTAATTAAATACGTAACACTTGCTAGCATGGAAATATGATGAACCCGCAAACTACCTGCCAGGGGTGACAATCACCATTTCAGTGTGATCCTCGCGCAAGCCAGCTTAAATTTTTATTTCGTCTAGTACTAATGGGATAACGATTGCTGAGAACGCATCAATGGGACATTTAATATAGCTCCGTAGCACATGAAGCTCTCCGTATGCATTTCGAAAATTAGTCGATCCTGAAAACCCATACATTGTTATATTCCAATTAAATACTTAATCAGCTTGTACATTGTTGATTTAATTGTCTCCCGTCGCACGATATATTGATTATCTAATTTAATTTCAAGAACGTAATGTTTTCCTTTCGTAACAGCTCTGGGGAAATTATCAAGTACCACACCGTTCCCGTTGGGGTTGCATCTGTGTAAATAAATCAGACATACCAATCATAATAAATACATATTTTTCCAGTAAATGAAATAATGATTGTATGGTTAGTTACTTTTTAAATTCTAGAAAGAAGCAAGATCTTCGCTATTCAGTATAGTATCGGAGTTAACGTAAGATGAGACCAAACCCAAAATCATAAATTTTATTGTAATTTCACTGCTCGGCGCATCAAGGGGTGACACGATTACATACATGAATGCAGACGACTGGCCTGAAGAATTTGAGGAAAATTGTTAAATTAAAATCTTGTTAACTAAGCTCATTATACATATATCACCTCCATACACAAAAATGCGATATGGATTTTTGCATATTTGCAATGATGAAAATAAATAACTAAGATAGATAGTATAAATCGTATTACATCAATTTTACGTACATAATTTTTTTTCATTTCATTTAACAAGCACAAGCAACATATACAAGTTTGCAATCTCCTACGCAATCAGTCGAAGATCGGGAGAGATTGCTAGTGGTGACCTGTCCCCCTGATGTGGGAGGAACGCTGTATCCGTCCGCATGAGGGAAATCTGAAAATTAGGTTTAGTATACATAGGTGATATGCCTTATTGCAGAATAATCTACAATTATTAAAGTAACAATTAGTAAAGTAACTTACTATCCCTTGATTTGGTTCACGTCCTTTCTTATCTGAGGTTAAATTCCCCAAGAAAACCAAACAAACGAGGAAGACTTCGAAATTCATTTTGTCTTAAGTTGAGCCTAAAGTTGATTAGAATTCTACCTTCGTAAGCAGCAAATCTCGTGTCACTAAAGGCATTGACTACCCGTGGTTCTTTATGTTCATGTTTCATCTCAATTGACATTTATGACAAGTGATATGTATGATTTTCCACATCTTGGTAACCTGGTGTGGTCCATATATGCTACTAATTGGTTCCGCTTCTCTATGTGCATCCTCTGTATCTGTATCTACGCCAAGATGAATCGGCTCCATTGACGTGCATCTGCACTTTTCTCTCTGGCAAATATAGGTTTTGTTGAACCATGCCTTTTTGATCTGTAAGATCTAGTAATCTTGTTAGATTTTTACAACACAGAAAGATTCTCAATATAATGTGAACGAAGTAAAGTGGATTTAATACAAGAGTGGTTTCTTGGAGGTCTTATTGGGTTACAGGTATTGTAGTAAAAGGTGGGTGTGATATGGGCGAGGTCTTTTTGGGTTCCAAGTATTTTAGTCAAAGGTGGGTGTGATACAGGAGTGGTTTCGAGGAGGTCTTTTTGGGTTACACGTATTTTAGTAAAAGGTGGGGGTGGAGGTGGTGTGGTTTTTGTGGATTTTATTTCTTGCGTATTTATGTTGTTACTGAGAGAGGGTGGTGGTACGATGGTTCGGGTGGACTCTTAATGCGTTACGTGTACATCTACGAGTGGTTGAGATAGGTTTCAACGGGTGAACTTTAATCGGAAGTGGGGGTGTCCATAAGTTGGGGGTGTCCATAAGTTGGGGGTGTCCATAAGTTTTGGGTGACGTATCATATTATGTATGTAGGATTTGATGTGCAATTTGATTTTAACTAACTATATTATACATATATATATATATGATTAGTGTTAGTACAAAATTCGACCTACCAGTCATGCACGCATGCACGTTCAATTCTAACAAGGTTGCGAATAATGTAAGTAAAGTGGTTATAAATATTTATGGTAATCATACTCCGTGTGGCAGTCTTTGTAAAGATATTTGTGCACATATGTTCCACCGGGCATTTGCATAATCTCTTTCGTCAAGAAAGAGTGTGTTGATGAGTCCGTTGACAAATAAAGACAATAAAATTGGTCAAAAAAATAGAATCTTCCTGATAACCTGAACGGAATTGTGGTGAAAAATGAATATAGACCATCATCCCTTTGAGTGCAACTAAGAACTGATTTTATTGAAAGCAAATTACGTCATAATATTAGATATGATTCAAACTAGAGTAGTCGAATAATTTTTCATCCACCCACAATAAAGTATGGCAACTATTTGTGCATTAAGGATATACATACTTCATGCATGCCATGTATTCATAAAATTATTGTTAATTATTAACTCCTAGCTATTTTCAACACCCCGCTTACATAACTATGACTTCTTTCATAACTATAATAAAACTACTGTTGAGATAAATGATTTCAGATCATAACCGCCTTGAGTACATTTAAGAATGTTTCAAGTAGATTAGTCAAATGAATTCTTATCCACCCACAATTGTGTGTGGTCAACTATTTGTGGAATAAGCACATACTTATATACATGCATGCAAATGAACTCATAATAAGATGATTGAACTTATAGTTATGTACAACAACTACTGGTGTACTATTCTATGCACTATTGTTATATTTAGTATTCCAGTGGCCCCTCGCTGCAGGCTGGTTCATTTTAATGCAAATTTAACGGACAACTTTCGCGTTATAGGTCGCGTGTAATTATGGTTCATCGGAAAGCGGCAGATCTGATTTGCATAGTAGAAAACTTGAAAAGGTGGTGTGTTGTAAATGTTCATATCATCCTTTAGTACTTTCCTCTTATATGTGAAAACTAAATCCGAATTTAGGTTTTCTGGTATTTGAAGCATTGTGTTGATAAATCCCTTCAATCTCTTGGACCCCTCAGATAAAGCGTCAGACCTTTTTTTATGTATTACGCTATTACTAGATTCTCCATTCAATTTATATTTTGCTATCGATTTTTCTGATCAACATGGTGTTCGCTTGAAGTAGAACAAGCTTTCCAACTGCATATTGCCCACTAATGTATTCCTTAGAAGCAACTGCAAATGTTTTCCAATTCTTAATATCCTGGTGCAAATCAGAATTATTCTTAATTTTCCAATTGAAGGTTGCTTTATAGGTAAGATCAGTTTAGTTTCTTCCATATTTGCAATAATCAATTAGGTATGTTGGTCATGTTCTCTTTAATTTGCCTAGTTTCTTTGCGGATCAGAATGCTTATTAATTTGAGAGAAAGAAACTTAATTGTGAGTCATTGGTGAATAGAGGTTCCGAACTTTCTTTCTAATTTGCTTTGATGGGCGACTAATAATGATCAGTACGTATTTGTATTCGCTCCTGTATTTTGGTTGTCTGGAAGATAGGTTAAGGAATCGTTGCGCATGGCTGCAGTTAAAGATAGTACTGTCCCCCCAAAAATCCTTCCCACCAAATGGAGTTCTGGCAGTCTTTGTTCTCCTCATGCGACGAACAGGCAATTGTTATGATGCACACTTGGAAGTGAAGGATCCTCCTTATGTGCAATAGCAACATTTGGGGTTGCGGCTGTAGATGCACAGAATCGCAGTTGAGATCGTTAGAGAGGGAGAGGAGGGGCCATCACTGATCGGAAGGAGTGGCTGTGAAGTAATTTAATAATGCAACTATCTACTTTTTGCAATTTTAGGTGAATTTGAAATTTTATTAAATTACCTGAACGAGTAATGTATCCCACCGTAATCTCGCTCTTCAACATCAGCCATCTTATCCTCATTGTTTAATTTCATGGAAAGAATATAAACATTCTCCATCATTCTAGTAAATTTCGGAGCTGGATGAGATGAATAAAATGGCAAATGAGGCAATGACTCATTCCCGAAAAGATAACGGAAAATTCACTGATTCCGGAGACTGAAGGAAAATTAACATTATCAAACGAAATATGTATGATGCTGTCTTCATTTTATCATTGTTCCCGACTCCAAGCTTCTGAATCTTACATTCATCATTTGTTATGATGAACTGTGATAACGAACTCAATGCTTGGAATTCATCCTTGAATAGGATAGATTATGCAAATTTGTTTCTGCTGGCTTCAGGTTATTTTCACATCGTGTGCATTACATTACATTTATATAGAAAAACATGATTTTTGGCTGACGTTCTGCGAAGACGTTGAACATCTTATGTTCTTTCTACATCGTGTGTTCTTTGGAGATATATAACATTTTAGGTTCTCTAGGTTATTTCAAATGCAGGCTTTTTTAATGTTTATGTAAACTCGATACTCAACATTATCGTTTTCAAGAATTCTTTTCTACACGCTATTAGGACACACCATTAATGCGTTTGCACTTATGTTTCACCAATATGTATGTTTAATGGAATTTTATTATGGTATAAAATTACATATGCTACACATTCATACTGATGAAACGCACTGTTAGGAATGGTTGGACGGGACTGCTATCGCGTAAGTTCAAATATCCGTCATTTCAGCCTTGTCGGCGACAAAAATGAAATGACTAATCTGCTTTCTATATAACGTCTTAATTAGTGTGGTGTCTTAGAACAAAGTGAATTAAAGGATACAAAAAACAACGATTTGATAATGTGGTACAAATTTTGTTGGAAAGTTCAAATTTGGTTTGGTTCTAACGTTACGTTTAGTATACTATACTGAATATAGAACTCAGAACACCTTTGCTTCTTGAAAGAATGACTTTATTTTTAAGAGTGCTGTCTTCGTGACATTTTCCTAATCTGAGCTGAACAGTGGAACGCTCGTATTTCATCCCCTTCCTTCCTCGCATCCACCACACTAATCCAGAATCATCTCCGTCAAATCAAGGGTCAAACATGTATCTCAATTTCCCTCCCTTTATTGACTTGTTGATGAAAAATGAAATATTAGAATAATTTGACGAGGTGACTAAATGACTGAATGATCCATTTTTTAAGTGCGGAGTTTCACATCTTTGTCCAATCCTGGTTAAGATGTGATGACGAATTTATTCATGTACGTGGCAAAATGCTGCCCCACCCAAACTTCAGATTTGTTAATCGCAGAACTGACTCACTCGTCACAAAGTGGTCACTCCCGTTAGTTCTTCAGTGTTTAAAATTCGAGAAAAATTTGGAATATAGATTTTTACATTCCCAATGTGCCAGCAGAGAGAAATCTGGGGATGAAGATATATCTACATACCTCTCGCATGGAAACTAAAATATGGTAAATATTTTAAATTATTTATCGTTTCAATTTTTCATAGATTAGTGTAATGTTGGATTGTTTAAGTGAAAGGAATTGTGGTTCGTTTTTTATCTAGATACGTATATAAATAATTTGAAATTCTAAATTTCAAGTGGAAACCATAACTTTTTAAGCAGCCGTTCTAATTTTTTAATAAATAAATAAATTTCATAAGTAAATATGAACTTTTCTATTAAATACAGAACTTATAAATTTGTTAGTTTTAAATTTGCTCGTGGTGATAGTTTATTATTGATTAAAGGATATCTAGGATTTCTTTAAATTGTTGGAATGTGTTTGAGTAAGAATTAAATGATTCGACAAGCAGATCCGCCGACTATTTCAAAAGTACAAATACTCTATTGGATTATGTTCCCCACATGAAACGAATTAAAACTTAGCAATTTTTTCGGGCGCCAAAATTTCCTTTGGGGGGTTATGAGAATAATGGGAGATAAATGTGGTATAGATGTGGTTCAGATAAATGTGGTTCAGACATAGGGCACAGCATATCTATGAAATGGGTTGATGAAATTTCAAAAACAAAATTTTTTTACACTCTATGGATCAGTACCCCCATAGGTTTTTCGAACTGAGGTGGAATTCCGACTTTGAGGGGCTTTTCACAGCGACGCAAAATTGATTCAGAAATTAATTTTTCGCTATAACGAAAAAGTATGACGAAATGGTCATACATTAGCTTTTCACCAATTTTTACTACGTTGCAAATTATTAGTAGTAGAATAAAGGTTAAATTACAAAGAAAGTCGAAATCGACATGCGTGACCTTTTTCGGGGATCGAAAGGTCACAATGTCAAAGGTCACATTACCCCATAAATGGGGTATCGTTGGAAAGGTATTGGCGAGGGGATTCAGAATATGTATACTTTGTGGGGTCTGAAACCACTCCCTGCAAGTCTAGAGGCCAAAGAACGAAAATCGGCAGTTGTCCAGAATTTAACACAGCAGTGGATTGGGAGCTAACACGGAAGCATGCATGGGAAAAACTCAAAAATATTCTTTTGGCTCTATGTTTGCAGGGAGTGGTTTCAGACCCCACAAAGTATACATATTCTGAATCCTCTCGCCAATACCTTTCCAACGATACCCCATTTATGTGGCTATGTGACCTTTGACATTGTGACCTTTCGATCCCCGAAAAAGGTCACGCATGTCGATTTCGACTTTCTGGGTAATTTAACCTTTATTCTACTACTAATAATTTGCAATGTAGTAAAAATTGGTGAAAAGCTAATGTATGAACATTTCGTCATACTTTTTCGTTATAGCGAAAAATTAATTTCTGAGTCAATTTTGCGTCGCTGTGAAAAACCCCTCAAAGTCGGAATTCCACCTCAGTTCGAAAAACCTATCGGGGTACTGATCCAGAGAGTGTAACAAAATTTTGTTTTTGAAATTTCATCAACCCATTTCATAGATATGCTGTGCCCTATGTGCACCACATTTATCTTCCATTATTCTCATAACCCCCCCAAAGGAAATTTTGGCGCCCGAAAAAATGCTAAGTTTTAATTCGTTTCATGTGGGGAACATAATCCAATAGAGTATTTGTACTTTTGAAATAGTCGGCGGATCTGCTTGTCGAATCATTTAATTCTTACTCGTTTATAAAACAACTCATTATTTCCAGAGCAAAAATTTTAAAAGCGTCGACGAATTTAAATCAATTTACAAATTTCTATTTTATATTTAGTTATGTATCGGTCCAACATTTTTGACAAAATATTGGGCTTCTTCGCCAACGCTGTACCGGCCAAGCATTCACCTTATCATAGCCGTTTCGCATTGCTCGTGGATTTCCTAAGCTGGCCGAATTACTGAAGTATGTATGTAAATATTTAACCGAAATTATTAGTTATTATAAAACATATTTTCTAGGAATTTTTATATTAGAACTGATTCTCATTTATTCAATCATTAAGGTGTTTGGAGAGATGGTTCAAAACTACAATAAAACAAATTCCCGTAATGGACAATTCAAGACACATTAGTTCTGGAGGACGCCCTGGAAGTTAAGACATAAATTCTCAACGCATCTAAATTAGGGATACAATTATAATTTCCTTTCCGTACTATACACATATTTCGCCGTGTTACGTTAATATATTTAAAAATTATTTAACTCGGCTTTCTTGTTAGAGTTGAATATTATTTAAATAGTGCAATAATTAATTTATTTAGAGTAGCGACACGATCTGAAACACGAGAATCTATATTTATAATATGCAATATGCTGTATTGAATGTAGTAAATTTAGGTCTGTCTGCAAGTCTGCAATATGCACGCATTTGTTCCACAGTTATTGTATTACTGTTTGACTAAGCTCTTCAAAACCCGGTGTTAATGGTCACCGCTCGGTGTGTTTTCTGACTTCACCGATAATGTGATAGTTTTTCGCACCTAATGGTGGTAAAATTAACACCAGCTAGTGATAATTTGTCACCACATGGTTAAGATTTATCAACATGCGGTGAAAAACATTATCACCATTTGGTGAAGTCAAATATCTATACTCAAAATAACCTGGTGTCAATCCAGTGCGGTGTTGTCACCTATCGACCCCACGCGGTGTTAATGCGGGCAATTAACACCGCGCGGTGTCTATACATAGTGGGGTCATAAGTTCTCGTGAATGCATTTCCGGTAATAAATCCCAAAGTATTAGAGCTATCTGTTCGAAATTTTTATGGATTAACAAGGTATTAATATTGTTTAGAAATCATAACTTCTTTGTCAAGATTTCGTCCACGGGTAATTAGACAAGACATAACTCGTGACGGCCACAGGTCGATCGTGGTACGCGCCAATTTTCGTGCCAAAAGTATTTCAGACTTTTCACGGTTGGCAAAAAATTTAATAGAAAAAAAGGCCAGATATTTGTTGTACAGAAGTCTGACATCCGTTTAAGTATGCGGAAGTCAATACGAAGTCATCACCGTGGTGTGAATGGGAGCAAGTTGGCTGGAGAAATGAAATCTCTGTTTTTTACCGCAAAGGGTACAAGTTGAAGCCAAGAATTATTTTCAGAGTGTCCTAGAGACAAACGTTAATAACCTGAACCCTGGACCCTCCGAAAATCGCCATTGGACCTTTCAACAAGACTCTGCTCATGCGCAAGGTGCAAAATTGTCCAAAACTGGCTTCAGACGAATTTTCATGACTTTTTTTCATCCGTAGAACGGTGCTCAGTATCTGCAGACCTTAATCCCCTAAATTATGACTGGTGGTCAAAATTATAGGTACAAGTATGCTCTAAATTTCACCCAAGTGTGGAAGGGCTGAGGTCGCACTTACTGAAGATCTGGCGCTTTTCCCAGGAAATCCGTGCGTGCCGCGATCGAGCAGTTTTCGCCACGACTTATGTCTTGTGTACAAGCCCGTGGAGGAAATTGTGAAAACGAAGTTATGATTTCTAAACAAGATTAATACCTTGTTCATCCACAAAAATTTCTATCAGATAGCTCTAATACTTTGGGCTTTATCACCGGAAATGCATTCACGGGAACTTATGGTCGTACTATGTATATGACTTAACCGCGCAGGATTGACACCAGATTATTTTGAGTGTATGCTGCACACCGGTCGGTGAAGATTAACACCAAGTTTTTAAGAGTGTACTTCCAGGGAGGTAGAAGACCAAGCAATTTGAGCGTAATTCAATTAGGATTTTTTTTCGGCTACAACTAAATACATATATCCCAAAATTTCATACGTGAAAAAGTTGGAAATGCTCTCGAAAAATCGAAGCGTGCAAATATCTTACCCTTCTTCTTAAAGGGGAACACGTGAATTACCGCATTTAAGTAAAAGATTTGGTCGTCACAGGTTCTCTTAGCTCTAAATCCACCATGTGCCTCGAAGAGAACTTGGTTAAGCGCAGCCAAATTTAGCAATCTCTTTGTTAATATCGTTGTAAATAATTTTAAATGAATTTATGTTATCGGCCCATACTTTGTTTGTAGGCTAGGATACACATTTTTAAATAGAAAAGTTAGGTCGGTCAAAAACTGAAGTACAAAATGCGCAAGTTTATTCCAGGGTTATGGTATTACCATGGAGTACTTCCAGGGAAATCTAAAAGCATTCAATCGGATTAGGATTCTTTTTAAGTGGCAAGACCGAAAAACGCTGCGAAATATGTACAATTGCGGCGTATGTATTGGCGAGAAATATTTATGTGCAACTTAATAATATTAATAAGAAGTGGAAGTTTTACATTTCCATCTGCTCGGTAGACTTGCATCTTTATTGGAAACCATGCTAGAAAGAAACTATATGTATATACGATACAAATCCCAATCTCGTTTAGGAATTTGGTTATTGTTTATAAACACATTTTAAGCATTATTTCCACCCCGAGTATTTTTTAGCACAAAAAATACGAAATATTATTTTATGTTTCTAAAAAAATAGATAAAATGCTTTTTAAACTTTTTTAAATTTTTTACATTCAATTTTTCACTAAGACGTGTGTAAAACCAGAATTTAAGCGACGATTAGATTGTGTAAATTTTGACTTGAATACGTACAACGGGAATTAACATTCCTAATTCACAATATATTTATGCAGGTCACAATCTCCCCAAAAAAATAATTAAAAATTAAGAAAAATATACATTTATAAGAGGCCAAATATTTACATAAGTATCGAAAAATTACCGAAATATTTACATAATTTTTTTGAAAATCCGAAATACTTACAAATTATTTCACTTTTTTCCCTGAAATATTTTTTTACATTCAAAAATACTTTTAGCTCTGTGCAAATAAATATGATATATCTATCAGTAAAACTTGATAAACATGGAAAGAATAACCTAGGTATTTGCTTACTTGAAATTCCATTTCGACCTTTGGTTTTTCTTCGTGGAACTTTAGACTGTGATTCCCCAATCCGTGTTGTTGCTTTGCATGGTGGTTGGAAACTTGTGGGCACATTATTTTTTTCTCGGAAATTAATTCCGGAAAATCAATTTTAAAATTTGGGGACTTTGGCGAAATCATGTCGAATAAATGGTTACGTATATTTGAAGTGAAGATTCTAATGTAGATGCCAACTTTTGTATTATATTATGTTATAGCTTTCAGTGACCAGCTTGTCGTTGAGTTCTTGAGTTATGTACGACAGGAAGAATTGAGGACAATGTAGACTCTGAAGAATTTTTGAATTAATCATTTTCCACATCAAATATGTAGAAAAATTTAATTTCTGGCAGGAGATTTCATTTTCTTTTCACATTAATTTAATAGGTTTGTATTTTTTGCATCCGAAACCTGCTCCAGAAGTTTTTGAGTACAAATTCTACTATACCTCAAATCTGTCGTCGTTATTTTCTCAAAAACATGATATCGCCAATTTCGTGATGAGTTTGACTTCGTCATTCTTTGTTGTGCAATGTTTCCTCAATCATGCAACCTTCTAGTTGATGCGTGATTAGTTTCCACCCGGGAAAATACGTTAGTCGTTGCCTCGCTGGTAAGAACTATTAAAAGGACGCTGGTGGATTCGAGTACAACTGTAGTGACGAAAAATGAGTCGTTAGTAATACAAGTTCTTCCTCGTCAACTTCAAATTAATGCATAAACTAAATTTTGGAGAATTTTCAAGAGAAAATGAGATTAACATCCCTTCCCGAAATTCGCAAATGTTAAAATACAAATTTCCTATATAAACATATATATATATATATATTTGGTCACATTATGTTTAAAGTTCGTGTAACCTGCCTTTTTCTTAAGCTGAATATTATTTAAATAGTTTAGTTAGACTAGTTACACGATATGGAACAGGGGAATTCATATTTATAGCATGAAATACACATATTAAATTGAATATAGTAAATTTTGGTCTCTCCAAAAATTCATACATTTATTCCACAGTTATAGTTATTTAGTTGGGATTATTTTTTAAAAGGAACACTTTGTCCCATAATTTCATACGTTCAGATGTGAACAACTTTGAGGGATAGGTGGATTGCCGAATTTAAATAATAGATTTGAACGTAACAGCTTCTTTTGGCTCTTAACTCGCCCTTCGTCTCTGGGTTAACTTCGTTTAGCTCAGCCCAATTTAGTTATCTCTGTTGCAATCCTTGGGAATAATTTTTATTATCAATTTAATAACGGTTTCGGGCTATAGTCTAAAAATTGATAGGCTCGGATCCCCTTTCTTGTACCGCATTACTGTTATTGATTTTTTCCCAGCATTAGACGTTTTTTGCTCCAGTTAAATTAGTTTAAATAATCACAGAAATGCCGCCTCCCGCTTATTTGGTGGAAAATACTTTATTTGTACGTGGGACTCATTACCCAATCGCAAAGTTGCAGCAGCAGCAAGGTGTGCAACCTTCTTATATTTGCCTTGCCCAATGCTTCCATTCATTACATTTTGATAAAAGGTGTTTCTACATTTAGCTGTTCTTAGGTGTCGAATGTTTGAGAATCCTTTTAGTTTGGATTTCATTTCTCGAGCAAATTGTTCGTATTGCTTCGATACCTCTGAAACATCTGTACCCGATTCCAAGAAATTTGCTGCTTTTGCTTTCTCCACCAAGCCGAATGTTTATAGAATTCATTGTTGATTGTATCAGGACCTGGTGATTTATTATTTTTCATTCAATCAAGTATGTACTATTTCTAGTTAGGCTTGTGTAATACGCTTTTCCTATAGTAAATTTAGGTCGATCAAAAAATGCCGTGCAATGAGCCTGCATTTATCCTAAAGTTATGGTATGACTGTGGAATACTACAAGGGAAGTTAAAAAGGATTGCAAAGCAATTTGAGCGTTATTTTACTAGGATTATTTTTTGGCGGAATGCCCGAGGAACTTTGTGAAATATGTAAAATTGGTAGCGTATTTTCAAGAAAAATGCAGAACTTAATGTTATTAATAGGAAGTGTTACATTTCCAGCTGCAACTTACCCTGTAACCCTTACTTTTAACCTGGCCCTTTATTGGAACCCATACTGGGAAGAGACATAATATGATTTCAACTTATTTTAGGGACGTTTGTATGACTACATATTTTACCTTGACCTGACCAGCTTGTCGCGACGTTGCATTATCTACCAATAGAGGAAGATGAAGATTCCAAAAATCTGTCGGATTTATCGTTTTCTACATCAAGAAAGTTTAGAGTAAATTTAGATAAAGATTTAGATAAAGAGTAAATTTAGATAAATATTATGTTCGAATTACTAAGCGTCAATGTATGCACACATTAATCATTTTCTGCGTCGGTACGAGTAATGTTGCGGATCACTTGACCCATTAGGTTTGAAGCAACAGGCATACCTAGTGCATCACCAAAGTCCTACTCAAATGTGGCGGTTGAATTGTTTGCCAGATTTAGATGGTTGGATATGGGTGCCTGGAAATTTCTATTAAATAGACACATCTTGATATGATCTAATGCTTGTGGTGTTCGGGTACGGCTTTTCATTGCAAATGAAATGTAATTGGTCATTTCTTGTAGAAGTATGAACGCCGGTATGTATTTATTTCACAGTTATGGTATTACTGTGGATTACTTCCAGGGAAAGTGTAAAATTATTTTAATGTAATTTAAGCATTATTTCAGTCTATTTTCGGTAAAAATGCCGAATTTAATATAGTTAACAGCAAGTGGAGAGTTTTACATTTTCAGCTGCGCGATAGCTCTTATGTTTTTATTTTCCTACTTAAAATTTTTATTTTCGACGCTGTTGTTATTCAGAATAATAAAGTGAATGCAGATTTTTGTAAACCTTATAAATCGTGCTGCAAATTTGACCAAAATAAATTATTACAATCTGTGAACCTATGCTGGGAAGTATGCATAATATAATTTCAATGCAATTTAGAGCGTTTTTGATTGTTTAACCTTATGCATATATCAATTATTTTCAAATTTTCAAACAAGAATTTTCGAATTTATTGTTTTTCAAATTTATTTCAAATTTATTGTCAAATCAAAAAAGGCCGATTTAATTTCTGGAAGGAGTATCTGAATATTTCATTTTCTTTTCACGTTTAACCTTGACATCTGCTACCGAGATTCCTGATGATCTAAGTTTTTCTTCACATTCTTGGAGGATTTTAATTCTATGTGTTAAAGCATCGCGAGTGTCAAAGTATACATATAATAATCATACCTTAAGCTAATGATCGCAAAAAATAGGATTAAGGAACTCGACAAGTTTTTTAAAGAAATTTGAAAATTAGATTAGGTTTAGTATAAATAGGTGATATGCCTTATTACAGAATAATCTGCAATTAATAACGTAACAAATACTTACTATCCCCTTGATTTGGTTCAGGTCCTTTCTTATCGGAGGTTAAATTCCTCGTGAAAACCAAAAAAGCGAGGAAGACTTCGAAATTCATTTTGTCTTATTGCAGGTTGGGTTTAAAAACGGACGAGAAACGGAACTGAAAACAAGGGCTAGACAGGAGAGGGCGAGGACATGGAAAAGAATAGTGTGAGAATAACTGTTGTTCTGTTAAGACATGAGCATGGATGGTGATGATTAAATAAGTAAGATGCACATTTGCCAAAGTACTGGAACTCCTAGCTAGACCAAGGCATCCTTGACAATCTTACACCTGCAGGGATAATGAAACATGTTTGATCCGAATCATTACGAAAAATCATGCCATGCCCTTGGAATGTATAGAGCAGATGCTAGACTACACAATAGTTACAATACTTTGTCTTTTTTTATTAAGGGCAGATAATGATTCACAATATTAGGGGCAGATGGTTGTAATGAATGAATCATCTCATAGAAATACTAACGAAGCATTATCCGATGCTGTCCGACGAGTGATTTTAAACCCCTCCATGCACTTGCAGCATTTGAGGAAGAAGCTGCCCAGCTTGACACAGAGAAGAACACGACGACCAACAGAAATCTGCTGAAATAGCATAGGTATGTATCCCTAGACAAAACTAGTACACATCTTTCCAATACCATAAAAGGTATAAATTCATGGTAGGATTTATGCCGTTCCAGCTTTAACAAATTTAACAAATGTATGTTTGTACTTGATATGATAGTCTTGATTTTGTCGTCACAATTAAATGCATATTATTATTCAGAAGTTACCAAAATTATTACAACATACCTCAGCACACAAATGTGTGTATGATTAAGTTGGGCCTAAAGGTTCTTAGAATTCTACCTTCGTAGGCAGCAAATCTTGTGTCTCGTGTCTCGTGTCACTAGGCATTGATTGCCCGTGGTTCTTTACGTTCATGTCTCATCTCAGTTGACATTTCCATGTAAGATTTTCAACATCTTACGCTTTTCTGAACCTCTATAGTTATGGAACAATAGGTCAGCGATGTACAATTTAAAAGTATTAAATTGTAAATAGTTTTACAACTACTTTCACAACAACTCATTAATATGTTAAAACAATGTATGCATTCATAATGGATATGCATATAACTAAGATTATATATTTGGTACACAAATTAAGCGTCGGCCAAATTTAATTTCCTTTCCGTGAACGAGAGATCTTCATAACTTTCAGCTAACAGTTTGGGAGGATTTCCAAATTCGTATCAATTTTATCCATACTCATCTTGAACGTTTCTGGGTGAGTGGAGCTGGACGGAATCTACCTCTACCCAGTCAGGTCCTACCCGGTCAGATATTTTTTTTTCACCCATGCTTAGGGCCAATTGAATCAAATTTCCCGCCAATGTCGACCCATGCACTCACATGCAGTCCCTTACAATTAAAGTATCAAAAGTACATATTATCATAAGTTCTTTCTGCAAAATAACAATTTTACTAATAATGCCCCACGTATAATTTGAATAAACTAAATAAGTTAGTGATATACTCCAATCTGATTGTAAAAGAAAGTAAGGGACAGAAGTAAAAATGTGTCGATGTATGGGTAGCTTTGTTTGTGTGGATTAAGGGTCAAGTCTCTCAAGGCGCCTCTTCACTTATTTCTATTTTAAGGATAATAATTTCCACATACATATAGTTGTTATGTATGCATTTAGAGGAGAGATGACAGAGGAGAGATGTAGTTTAGGAAGGCTTTATTAATAATAATTGTGGTTGCATTATTACATTGCATTTTGCATACTATGTATGTACCTAACACTACGTATATACCTAATACTACCCTCTTGCAGGAGACTTTTTCTCCTGAAAAAGAGTAGTGACGCTAACTTAACAAGGAGTGATTACGACGAATTTACTAAACTGAACAAAGCATACGAGTGACGAGTACGATCACTCGGGACAAAGGAAAGGCGGAATAACGTCCGCCATTATTCTACACAACTACACAACGAGGCAAAGGCGAGGAAAAATTCACTAAATTTTTAAATTTTGAAGAATTAACTAACAAAATTGTGTTCTAAAATACAATCAAATTGATAAAATAAAGTGCTACATATCTGCCTCATCAAAAATTATGTCAGGAAGCGGATTCACAGCAAAGGTAAGTACTAAATACATATATATTTTTTTTTTTTGAAATTTTTGGACATTGTGGGAATTATGTTAGAAATAAATTGTGAAAATCATGAAATTGGTTAAAAATAAATGTATATCTAGTATCGACAAGCAGTAAAATGACTATAAAACTAATTTTTATGTTGATAAATTGCAGATTCCGGGTTTGATAACATCTAAGGGTACCCCTTGGGGGGAGAGCCCTTAAGGCTGGGGGGAAGGGGGGATTTAAGGGCCCTCCTCAGAGGTCAAAGGTCACCGGGGGTGTGGCTGTGGGTGGGGTGGGTGGTCTCGGGAACTTGGAAAAATTACTGGAAACTTGGAAATTGCTGGGTGACGTCATCCACCGACTGCCTCACTCCCGGTAAGCAGAACTACAAATATTGAAGCAAAATTATTACTCAAATGAATAAATCGTGATACAGAAATATTGGTTGATATTAATAATAAGAAATCTATAGTTTTTTTGTGAATGAATAATAATGAATGAACTTAGTTATAATTTCCGAAGGCATCGAACTGGTGGACCGTAGTTTGGGGCGGAGCACTGGGCAAGGTTGACATCTCGTGGGCGTCGTGACGTGTCGGCAGTGGCTCGGTAGGTGGAGTAGCGTAGATAAGTCGGGGATTTGGATTGGTGCGATTAGCTAATTTAGAAAGATGGCGTAAAATGGTTAGGCCAATCAGGATTAAAATGAGGAGGAAAAGGACAGTAAGGACATCCGACGTGACTTCGATGGCTTCAAGGACAGGGTAGGCGTGGACTCCAGGAATTAGGGGGAGTAGGCGGCTGCATGAATTTCCAAGGGCACGTGATGGGTGGCAGGAAGTGGTGGCGCGGAATAGTTTGTGTGAGGAATTGATTCATGCCATTCTTGGTTGATAATCTCGTCCAGGGCAGCAAAGTGAGTAGCATTGGTGATGATGGGGGTGCGTAATTTGGTGAAGGGGGCGGGAAGAAGATGATGGTAAGACGGATCCCACTGGGTTCGGAGACAAGGGAAGTCGGGCGTCACCAGAATAGAGTCCACGTAGAGTCGGCTGGAGCAAGAGAGGTGCACTTCCAAAAGGCCAATTGTCGGGGCTGTAATATTCTTGTGGGCACTTCGTGAAGTTGGATATAATTTGATGGTGGAATTTGGGGCAATGATTCCGAAGCTGGCTGGTCCCAACTGCAGAATTAGTGGGTGGTACAGCTTAGTGCATGAGAGGTGGCAATTTTGGTTGATTTCTGAGATGGGGGCACTTTTTAGGAGGGTTCGAATGCAATTATGCTCAGGAATAACAGGAGGATCAAAACGTGGGAGCAAGCAGAGAGCATTTGTTGTCGGGTCAGAGTTGAGTGATATGGTCGGCGTGATGGGGATAATACGATGTTTGGACAGGGCAACGTAATTCACATCGATTTTCACTTGACAGACGTCATCGTTGAATAAAAAGGGCAGGGGTTGGATTCGTTTCATCTCGTACGTCGTATTCAGGCTCACTAGGGGGATGCGAACAGTCGCAACCACTTTGTTCGGACTAAACAAACAAGTCGCTAAGGGATAGCGAAAAACGTCCTCCAAGTCGCTGGAGGGGATGCTGAGCTCTCTGTTATGTTGAAGTATCTTCCGTTGCAGGACTCGTAGGTCGCGTCGCAGCATCTTCGGGCTAACAATAAAGGGTGGGAGTAGTGACTGCCTGCAGTCGCTAAGGGTCTGGATCCAGTTTTGGTTCAGTACTGTCTGAAATTGGGCGACGGCCAGGGCAAAAAGGGAATGGTGGTCATCCTGGGCTTTGGATTCTAGTCTCTCTTCTTCATTGGCGATATCGCGTAACTCATTGTGAACTACTCGGTCGGTTTCGCTAAGGGCTTCCTCGAGGGCCTGAAAATCTTTGTTAAAAATTTTAGTGGACTCAACTGTGAAGGAATGCTCTGCTGTAAGGGCCGATTGAAGTTGTAGGGTGAAATTATCAAGGTGGTGCTCGTTAAGCTGCATGCGGTCGACAGTTTTTTGTTGGGCCACGCCACAGCACCAATTATAAAAGTCGCCAATGATTTCTATGGAACGGCGGTGACACGTTGAACTGGGGGACGGGAAAATTGGGAGGAGTCGAAGTGCAAGAGAGTGGGTGGCATTCAAAATTTGGCCGATGTCTGTGTCGTTAAGCGGTGTCAAGAGGCGGGTCCATTGGTCGAGGTCAGGGAGATCCATTTCGTAAATCAGAGGAACGGTAGATTCATAGGGAATAATTTTGACATTCGTTGTCAAAACTCCAGTTGAAAGTCGCGTAATTGTTTTTGAAAGTTGGTCTTTCGCACCAGTCAGGCGAGCACCAGAAACAAGTGCAACACAAAGTAGGCACAAAGGATTCATGATCCCTCTTGAAATTTAACTTTCTTTCGTGAACGAAGATTGTATTGGTGTGCAGGTGTTGGTTGTTTGTTATGTGGGAAAACTGGTGAAAGAACCGGTGGCGTAGATTGCGACAGCGTAGATTCGTATGTATGTGCTTGTGGAGAGAGTTGAGGGAAATCAGAGTCGAAGAGAAAATTATTTGTGGGCAACTGAGCTTGTTGCGAGGTCAGTGTGTCACTGGTGGTTTGAGTCGGAGATCCAGGTGAGGATCGGGAGGAATGTGGTGGGTCTAGAGAAGATAAAACTTCCTCGTCAGCATAGTCAGCATTATCTTGGTGGTCTGCACTCTGAGGAGGGTCTGTACTTGCATCGTGGGAAATGTCCAGAGCAGAAGGGGAGAATGTGCTGACGGTGGTCTCATCAGTCGTCCTAGAGTTGTATAGTTTCAGTTTCTCAACATGGGCGGTCTCCGTGATAACACGACCATTAGACATCGTAGCGGAAATTATGTAATTAACGTCAGAAAGTTTTCGCTTAATCATGTACGGGCCGAACCAATACTGCATTAATTTAGCAGCGAGACCCTTCTTTTGGATGTACTTACGGCAGAGAACTTGACTGCCTATAGGAAATTCAATATGCTTGCGTTTTTTGTCATAATAAAATTTTGCAACCTCTTGAGAGTGTTGGATTCGCTCCCACGCAAGTGTCCGAGCAGATCTTATGTGAGAAAGGAATTTCTCCAAACTAATGTATTCCTCAGCAATAAATGCGGATTCCGTGGGAAGGACCACCTCACGGCCGTAGAGTAATTCGAACGGGCTAAAACCAGTCGTGGTGTGCTTGGAGGAATTAATGGCAAATGTAATATGAGGCAGCCATGTGTCCCAATCAGAGTGTGATTTGAGAGAATCGGTTAGATAAATTTGAATACAGTCATTTAGAACTGCATGGCTTCGTTCTATTTGACCTTGACTTTGCGGATGGTAGGCGGTGGAGAGCAAGTGCTTAATGCCCAAGGCGGAAGAAAGTTGCGATAATAAATCAGAGGTAAAAATTGTACCTTTATCAGATTGGAGGATAGCAGGCACACCGTGGCGGCATATTAGTTTCACCAAAAAGTTGATAATGTCCTCAGTTTAAGCAGATTTGACAGCTTCAGTTTCGAGCCATTTGGTCAGGTAACATGATGCGGTAATTATGTATTCTTTGTTGGATTTACTGGCAGGAAATGGGCCAGCCACGTCTATTTGAACACGTTGAAAAGCATTTTTTGGCACTTTTATGCATTGGAAAAGTCCATTGGGTTTAGATCTGGGTGATTTCCGAAACTGGTATTTGGAACAGGTGGCTACATATCGCATTATTTGACGACGCATACCAGGAAACCAATATCGCTGCTTGATTCTGTCGTACGTTTTTGTAAACCCCATGTGTCCGGAAAATGGGCTGTCGTGAAACTCATCTAGGACGGAAGGAGTTTTGACGGAATAACCAGGGTTAGACGGTTATATTGGTTATCACGTTTAAATAGTACGTCATCTTTTAGTGTGAAATGCTCATTGATTTTTGTATCTTGTCCTAATTTCAGTTTGTTGATAATTATGGCTAGTTCAGGGTCGTCACCTTGACTGGACATCAAATTAAGAGAGCCAATTGTCAGAATAGGGAGGTCATCAAGCTCATCACGATTTGGTTGAAAATCTTCAGTCGGATAGCGACTGAGGAAATCGGCACATTCATGTTTCTTGCCACTCACATGGCGAATTTCAACTATTGTATAATCCATTAGACAAACAACCATACTTGACAGTCGAGAGTTGAGCTCTTTTTTTGACCATTGGAGAAGCCAGCAAATCCCGTGGCAGTCTGTGGCGATGGAAAGGGGGACACCATAAATGAGGGGTCGCAGGCGTTTCAGGGCCCAACAGATGGCTGTGAGTTCCAACATGACTGAGGGATAGCGTTTCTCAGCCACGGAAAGAGTTCGTGAGATAAATGCTACCGGATGTTTCTCGCCCTCATAGAATTGGAAAAGTCCGGCTCCTAGTCCATAAGAAGAGGCGTCGGTTTCTAACAGGGTAGGAAGGGCAGGGTCAAATAATCTTAGTACTGGTCGTGACAACAGTCGTGCAATGACCGTGGCGAAGGCAGCTTGGTGCTCTTCAGTCCACGTAATGTTCCCTCGGATGGTTGATAAACATTGTAACGGGTGGACAATGCGGGAAAAATTTGGTATATATTTGCGAAAATAACTGAAGAATGCTACTAGTTTCTTCACTTTGTGTCCGGTGGTGGGGGGTTTTAGCTGGGACACACCACGTAATTTCTTCTCATCGGGTTTTGTCCCCATGGCGAAGAGAGAAAAACCGAGTAAATTTATTTCGCTTGGAGAAAGTCACATTTATATGGCTTAAGATTGAGCCCTTCGGCGGCAATTCGTTCAAAAATTAATCGTAATTTTTCCAATGCTTCTTCTTCGGTTGCTCCAGCGGAAACTATGTCGTCAAAAAAATTCTGGCAAACTTCACCCTTAAGGCCGGAAAGTACTTCATCGAGGAGCTCGGCGAATCGGGCGGGGCCATTTGAGACCCCAAATGGAAGAACGGTGGGGGCAAAGGTACCCTCACGGGTCACAAAAGTTGCTTTCTCTTGGGCGTCAGGAGTCATAGGTACCTGGTAGTAGCCTGAGGTAAAGTCGAGACTGGTGAAATATTTCTTGCCACGCAAGGACTGAAAAATATCATCAATGCGAGTTTGTGGCCACTGGATCTTTTTGGTAATACGGTTAAGGGACCTGTAGTCTACCGTAAATCTTTGAGAGTTCAGGTTGTCGTCGTCATCCTTTTTCGGGACGAAAAAGCAAGGAGAGGACCATGACCCACGGATGGGACGTACAATTCCTTGGGCTAAAAGTTTGTCGACGTGACTTTTGATGTCTCTGTGAATCTTTTCTGAATGATTAAATTGTTGCATTCTAATGGGAGGATGATCTCCGTTGTCAATATCGAATTCTACACGGTCGGTTCGCCCTAATTTGGTTGGGTCCCATGAAAAAATATGCTTAAATTCCGTGATCAGAGAAAGCAACTTGGCTCTCGTAGAAGGCGAAATGTTGGGATTGATTTTGAGTTTGGTCAGATCCATAAGAAAAGGTGGCGGTGAAAGTTCAGCTGCAGCTACCGGTGGTGGAGAAAGTGCGGCTGGTGGTGGTGAAAGTAGGGCTGATGGTAATGGCGGTGGTGGTGGTGGTGAGGGCCCCGAGGCTGCTGGTGAAATTGTTAGGGATGGCAGAAGTGGTTTTGGGCTGGGGGTTGTTCCGGTTGTGTCGAGGGAGTCCGCTGAGACGCATCAAGTAATTTCATGTCCATATTTCTGTTTAGTGATTGCATAATTTCTTTGTTATCTCGCTTTGTTATATCGCAGGAATGGAATAATCGTTGCGGGGCGCTTGTATACGGGACGGAACCAAGGATAGGAGACATTAAACAGCGAAAGGATTCGTTGCTGGACAGGAGGAAATGTACTTGAAAATCATGCCCAAGTAGAAGAGGACATGGTGATGAGGGAACAACGAAAAACGGGTATGTCACTTGTTGGGTACCAATTTTGAGAGGTAGAATGACCAGGCCGCAATCTCTAATGGTATGATTGCCAAAATCCGACAGTCGGTAAGGTAAATTTGGGTTAATCCGGGGTAAACCAACAGCAAGGGCTTCTGTGATGATTGAGGCTTTAGCACCATTATCGACTGTTGCAGTGATTCGTTGATTATTGATAAAAGTGTCGATTGTTACTGGTCCATGATTAGCAGAGAAATCTTGCAGGTTGATGCGTAAGTCAATCGTATTTTGGTTAAACGTAACATGTCGCGGTCCAGCAGGGTCAAGGGAGGGGGACGATGGACGTAGAATAGATTTTAAAGGCTTCAGGGATGGTGGGCAGATCAATCTGCCCAAAGCCGGGCGTTTCCCGACGGGGGCGGTGAACCGGGAGGGGTACGCGTTGAACGCTCATCCCACTGATGGTTTTCGCGTCTCGTGTCGTCACGATCCGTAGTATTATGATGGAAGTTGTCACGGCGACGGGGAGATTCACCACGGCGGCGCGGCTGAAAGTCTGAATTGCGACGCTCATCGTGGGGGGAGTCATCTCGGCGACGGTAGTCACGGTTGTCATTGCGACGGCGGTGGTCACGAGGAGAGTCGTCACGGCGGCGGTTATCGCGGCGGTACACAATGGGCCAGGAGCCTAAAAATGTGGCCATTAAGGCGGTATCTTGAATTGGCTATTCACATATTTCAACGTGTAGTATAGAACCAACATGTCCTCCATGCAAAATATAAAACCAAATGTTACACCCACTCGGGTGTACCCATGGGGTAAACTTTTCGTAATACATTACGAAGATAGGGCGAACACATATTCTAAAAACTTCACAAAACTTCACGCATTGCGGACTCAAAACTCATGCCATTAAATACCCCATGGTGTGCTAAGTATACCCTGCTGCGACCGTCTGCGACCATCAAGCTTTATTCCAACCACACCCACTTTTAGGCGACTTTTCGATTTTAACGGAACCATTTCATGTTATATATCATTTTTCTCAGCTCGGCGAGGGAATCTCGACAGATTCATTAGAGTTTAGAAACCACACCCCCAGTGGGTGTGGTCCTCGGCAACTTTTAGATTTCAACGAAACCATGTCATGTGATATGTCATTTTTCTCAGCTCGATGAGGGGATCTCGATGGAATGATTAAAATTTTGTCACCACACCCCCAGTGGGTGTGGCTCTAAGAAAATTCTCAATTTTAACGAGAACAATATCATGTGATATATCATTTTTCTCAGCTATACGAGTGAATATCCACAGAATAATTAGAATTTTGAAACCACACCCCCAGTGGGTGCGGAATTCAGCGAGTTAAAGTTGTTTTCTCCCACACCGAAATAGCACTACCCGTATTTTGCGTTTCCATGAAGGCTCGCGTTTTCGGTTGTGGCGGTTTAGAGGGCATTTTCAGCCCAAATTAAAATTTGTCAAAAACTTATGTTTTGTATGTTATATAATTTTAACGCTATATCATAAATGAAAGAGCAAAACCATTTTTTCTCAAAAATTACAAAAAAAGATTAGAAAAATACATTTGTAAAAGTTTAAGGCTTTGTATGCTATTTCAAAATTTTGAAAAATGCAGCAAGAAATTGTAAAAAATTGCAAAGTTTGAAAGTGGGTTTTTCTTAATTTACGTAATGCAATTCAAATTATTTTGTTGAAATCCCCTCGTTTAGTTAAGAGAAATGATTTATTACATGACATGACGTGGTTTAGTTAAAATCGAAAAGTCGCTGATTTTTAGTATTCCGTCGAAAGATCCTTGTTGAGCTGAGAAGAATGATATAACACATGGCATGGTTTTATTAAAATCGACAATTTTCTGGGAACCACACCCACTGGGGCTGTGGTTTTCTAAATTTAAGGTATTCCGTCGATACCTCTAATCAAGCTGAAAAGAATGACATATCACACTACATGGTTTCGTTAAAATCGACAATTTGCTTAGAGCCACACCCACTGGGGGTGTGGTGTCAAAATTATAATGATTCTGTCGAGGTCCCCTCGTTGAGCTGAGAAAAATGATATGTCACATGATATGGTTTCGTTGAAATCGAAAAGTCGCAGAGGGCCACACCCACTGGGGGTGTGGCATGTGACTATTAAAAATTTCCTCATATAATATATGCCTTTGGTTATTGTTGCACACCAAAATCTAGTTCTAGTTTGTTCAAACTCGGCTTCTATATATTTTTGGCCAAAATATTTTAAATCTGGCCCACTGTGCGGTAGCCAGCACCGGAGGTATCGTTATTACGATACCCACCATTGCGACCACGCCCTTGGTCGTTAAGTTGAAGGCCAGCATTTTCTTGCGACACTCTATAATTCTATGTCCGCGGATGCCGCAGTAGTAACATTCAAATGAGGGGCGTTGTCCGTTAGGACGAGGCGCACGATTATCCTGGGACTGATCTGGGCGAGATCTTGAGCCGTGATTTTGGGAGGGCGACACATTAAGTCGCATGATAGCAGCTTGTAGATCGCTAAGGTGATTAAGCACACCTTGCATATTCTTAACATTGGTCAAATTCACTCCGAGTGACAGTCCTCCGTCAGTTGCATTATTCACGGGCTTAGGCTGAGCCGTGGGCGGAGCTAGTGGGGTTACGGGGGCCTAGTGGAGGCCAGCGAATGCGTCGAGTCCAACAGATTGAGGGGGAGCGGTTGGGGAGATAATCGTTACGGGCGGTTGGAGTTGAGGGGTCAGCGTTTTCTGCAGGCCACGGTCTTCATAATGCTTCACAAGTGACACTAAGTCACCATAGGTCAAAGGAGGTCCTTTGCACTCGAGGAATTGACGTAGGGAAGGGTCCAAATTGTCCATAAGGAGTCGAATGATATCTGGTTCTGCATGGCCTGTGTATTCCTCAGACATAACAGCGCGAAGTCGTTGCAAGTAGACCGATGCTTTCTCGAGCTTTGGTTTTGGGGACTTTAATAGGTCCAGGACGGACGTATGATCATCAACCTCCATTGGGCATTTGGTCAGAAAATTGTTAATAAAGGTAGCCCATTCAATGGCTGGATTGTCTTGTTCCGCGAAATTGATCATGAAATAATGTTGGGCAGTGGCATTGGAGAAAGCCAAGGGAAGAGTTAATTTGGCTTGAGGAACAGTTAAGCGTTTTGCTTCCGCCCAGCGCAGGAAACGCTGAATAAAAAGTCGAAGTCCGAGCTTGGATAGTTCATGTCCATATTTTGGCATTTCGAGATTAATATTAACCAGAGGAGCTGGTTGTGGAGGGCTACCGGTAAAGAAATTCCTCGCGGCCATGTTGGCGGTGGCGGCTGCTGGAGTGGGAGGAGGAACTGGAGGTCGGTTTGGCGGGGGCGGACGGATGAAGGGGGATGGAGAGGACGGAAACCGAAAAACCGCGTCTGGGTTTAATGCTCTTGGTCCGAAGAAAAATGTGTTAGCTGGGGGTGGAGGAGGAGGGTTCGGGGGACGCGAAGGTTCCGGGGTTGGTACGAAGTTCACTGGCTGATTCTCGCGTATAAAAGTAACGGAAGGAGGACGTACCTGGTTGTTTAACAAATTATCATTTATATTTCCAGGGAGGATGCTCGACGCGGAATGATCTGGGTCAGGGGCCGAGGGGAGGTGCGATAGCGGAAGTGGATCACTATTGGTATATCCAAAGTCATCAGTCACAACACCGCACTGAGAACTGTCTGTGGGGCTGACGATCTGGTGTTCACGGTCAGAGTCAGGGTCAATAGGGTCACGTAAATGGCTAAAACGTCGGCCAGAAACAAATACACTTTCGGGAGCTTCGAGCAGGTCTGACGGGGGAGGTGAGGGGTCAGTGCGTCGACTGAAAAAGTTCCAAAGGGGCATCGTCGTGGAAAAATTGCATTATGTTTGTCAGGAAAGGATGTGTACTCAATTTTGAATAAATTGTATAATTTGCACTTTAAGAGATTATGTATATAAAAGTTAATTTCTTGGCAGTCAGAGGAGAAAAAGTACTCTGGAGGTCCACCAATGTTATGTATGCATTTAGAGGAGAGATGAGAGCGGAGAGATGTGTAATTTAGGAAGGCTTTATTAATAATAATTGTGGTTGCATTATTACATTGCATTTTGCATACTATGTATGTACCTAACACTACGTATATACCTAACATAGTTCATAAACAATATGATTTATTCAAAGTAAATATCTATGTAGACAGATTTACTTGCTCCCATTACCCATTCGGGCTATTCAGCCCATGTAGTTTCGAGGTTGCGAATAATGTGACTAACATAGTTATAAATATTTATGGTAATCATTCTCCGTGTAGCAGTCTTTGTGACGCTATGTAAATGCATATATGTTCCACCGGCAATTTCGAACATATGATATTTCTCATCTACTACGTATTTAATGACGAGAAATGTAGTATCGGTTGTCAAATATGATATGTTTGTCTTTATGAATAGCTTTTCGACTTCAACTTGAGAAGTTGTACCGTATGCAACTGGAAATGAAATGTCATTATTTATTTAGTTACCCAGTACCAGTCTTTGACCTTGAAGCGCAGGCTGCATAGGAATCGGACACTCTTGCAATTAAATAATAAATTGTAAATAAACAATTATTTTTCAGCAAATCTTCTATGTATTTGCTTTGATGTACGAATATTCCCTCCTCCACTTTTATAATTTACATTCTCAGAAAGTGGTTAAATAGTTAATGCAAATGTCTGCCCAGAAATTTCACGTTATTTTTTTATGCTTGTAGATTTCGTCCATTTCGTAATGACTTCGTTTACATCTGCAGCCAAATACGATATTCCTTCTGCTATGGTTTTGATAAATCGGAGCTTCTTACTAGCGGAACACACGTAACCTACTTCTGCCAATCTTTCACTGAGCGTGTCATACCAAGCACCACAAGCTCTCTTCAATCTATAGAATTTGGTTTACACACTTCACACACTCCCGAATTTCGTCACCGGTTCGAAGAGCACAAGTTGCATGTTCACCACGTTTAATTTTGTACTCTGGCACCCTTAACCATTTCCATTAAAATAGTATTATCACTCCAGCTCCTCTCCTTTTTGAGAATCCCCCCATCTCCTTTTTGAGAATCCTATTTGTAGCATACGACTTTATGAAAATAAATTGGCAACGCCATAAAGAAAAAGTAGTTTCGAAATAGTAATTGCCTAACAATTGTAAGTCATGCAAATTTGAACCGCAACATCACAGTCTCCGGAGCATTCTACAAAATCTATTTGTCGCAACTTGCAATTTTAATGGCACGTTGAATTTTTTGCACGAAGTGAACCACTCTTGTTGTCCACATCTTTGTACATACATACTTCATTCAACCACTGTCGCAATACCAAACGAACGAGTATCTGGGCGCTCACGCCGTTAACCGTTTGACTAATAAATGCTTTCCCTGCTTTTCAATGGGATTTTCTTTCCCCTCCTAAAGCTCGTCCCAGGGGTCTGCTATTTCTTGAACGGCAATGGCCTTGAAATGTCTTTTCACTTATTCCACAATTTTAGTGAGGCAGTGCTCATAATTAAAACAAACTGCACACCACTTAACCTAACTTCGAAATTTGACATTTTTGAAAATAGAATTTAGTCTTCGCACTCCTGAATCCTCGTTGGCCTTAGAAATTGTGTTGAATTAATTTAATTAGATTAAAGGCAGATTAACAGAGAACCAACTTTGATTATTGTCACACGCAGACAGGGTATTCCGACCCCGGGTTTTACTGGGTTGGGGTTTTACTGGGTTTTACTGGGTCGTAAATTAATAAAACCCAGCGGGTTTTACTATGTTAAAGGGGTTTCACTGGGGTTTTACTGTGTTTTACTCGGGTTTTACTAAGTTTTATCTCAAATTCAAATAGATAAATCAATAGAATCAGTTTGCAGGTGCATATCTAACTCGAATTAAGTACTCTGATTAATATTCCGTCAATTTCTCTATTTATTTCGAATTTTTGTTTATGATCTAAAAATCATAATTTATAGCTTAACTTGGAATTCGATCAAATTCGTATTTTTCTTGTCTTCCTGGCATTTTGAATTGAAGGTTTTTGATAAATCTTGATAAAATTCATTAATTTAACAAATTAACGTAACATTGTAAGTTTTATGACTTCACCCCAAACATTGAGTAAAACCCAGTAAAACCCAGTAAAACCCAGTAAAACCCAGTAAAACCCCGGGGTAGTTGTTTTCAGAGTAAAACCCCGGGTTTTTCCGAACCCTGCACGCAGAGTTGTGAGTTTTTAAAAGTCATGCCGATTTTAACCTAAAAAGTGAAATACCTTCCCTTCAAGAGAATGTTACTGGATACAATTTCCATATCATATCCAAGGGTTTATTGTAAACAAAAGTACAATTACAGTAGAGAGTGACAACTAGATAGTTTCGCAATTACGCCCCATTATAAATTTCAACTTGTTTATATTCAATGTCTCTTGTAAACGTAATTCATAATGAGAGTGAACCAGCGGCTAAATGAATCCAACAATTGCTCTCTGCAATTTACAATACAATGTATGTGGAACTATTTCATATCATATGCATAACTCAAATCCAACTATATTGTGTATTTTATTAAATGCAATTCTTGTATTAGTACACCAGCAATTTATTACATTCAATTTACTCTTCCAAATTTGCAAATTCGTAGAAATAAATAATTTTATAAACAGTGAATGCATATGTTTGTGTTGTATGTAAGACCAAGTATGTACATAAGTTACTAAAATTATAATAGTAATTAATATGGTTTGATATTTTTCCATTTTAATACATAATTCCTCACAAATTGGAACCTATTGAGTAAGCAAGGAACTTTTGACAAGCTCGTTCGTGAAGGTGTTTTGGTGGGTTCACGCAAAACTATATTTGGCATTAATGCATTCATTTCGTTCCTAATTATCTATTAATCCGACTTCCTGCTTGAACGTGGTTCTTAGTCGCTTCTGTCGCATGTATTTTAGCAACTTTGCTTTGATTGGATCGTTGCAACCCGCAAAGGAGTAATTCATCTCAGTGCTACAGGTAGATCAAGATTTTGTTCTGGAATGATGGTGGTGACAAAATTTGGGGTTACATTAGCGAAACCTTCGTTTACCCCAGTTTGCAAAAAGATCCTTCCTTCGTCAATTTTTCGAACTTGGATAATGCCTCGAAAGCGGTTCCCAATTTTTGGGCAAATTTTTTGCAAAAAAAATTCTCTGGCCTTGCTCCACCTGTATTGTATACTTTATTGCACAGGCAGTAGTCATGCTACGGTTGGGCAGGTTGTTATGCATGTACATATATTACTTTCTTATTTTTTATTACACACTTCATCTACGCTGCAGTTCGTGTATATTGTAGCCATCGAGAATATACATTGTTGTTAATAAATAAATCAAACCCTTTTGTGATCATATGAGGGCTACTTTGGCAACGTGCAGCACCCTTACGTGGGGCTGCCAGGTGGGCATTTTCCCCAGGGCCGGGCCCCGAAGGGGGCCGGGCCCTCGTACCCTTAACAAAAATTGCAGGAACTGTTATTTACGTTTTTAGATACATAAATTATGCGGTGAAAATTATTGGCCCAATTTATTTCATTATTTGAACTGGCCAAATTAAGAACATGTCTTGAGCCAAGTGTTTTACCTAACGGAAGATATTAAAAAAAGCTACTACTTTAATTGCCAGAAGGGGCCGGGCGAATATATATTACAGGTAGTTAAGGCTTCAATTGTTTCAAGGAGTATGAGCAGCCACATGCCTTGCAAATGTCGAATCGCCAAACGGACGAAATGCTCTATCGAGAATGCCCATACAAAACGAAGAATCATTAAGCACGGTTATCTTGAATTAAAAACCGGACTTTCTAAGTTCAAGCAATAAAACATAAAACTTCTCAATACCTTAGACGACTATAAGTCATGCGTATTGTTTTTAATTTACTAAATCTACTTACGAGGGAACCTTTTATAGTGCCCGGAGCTCCCAGCATATCCACTATATACATTGGACGCAGTTTTTAATACTAGTCCGATGATATGACAAAATTTCCGTGTCAAAATGACCTTAGGTCAAGTGGTAACGATTTTAGTGACGCGCCGAATGGTCACTTTTGCCAGGCTTTTAGAACCGCAGGTACCCTTTCACCTCTTCACTACGGTGTCCGGTCAATTTGGTCAGGTCAATTTGGTCGGGTCAGTTTGGTCTTGGGAAATTTGGTCTGGAGTCATTTTGGTCGTGAACAAATTCGGTCTCGCCAATTTGCATTACTGTATTTATTTATTGTAAATCTAGCACGTACATAAACATAATATTTAATTAACCATGACGCGCAAAGGAACTTTCAACGACTTACAAAGTTTTGATTTTTGACTCCTCCATGTTCGGATCTGCTTCGTGTTAACTTCAAATTTACGGGAGGCAGCTTCATTAGAATTAGTTTCCGCAAAATTCACTGCTTGTAGCTTCATTTTAATAGAGAATTGCCGTCTACGTGGCATTTTGAAGTTAAAAACCAGGATTTTTGTCTTAATTGGTTTCGGACTATTATGTTGTCAACAATTTAAATAATATTTCTACGACCTTCTGGTTTGTCTGATTAATGGTGCGTGCTGTTTTCCCTGAAAAGCCTGAGAGGCTGGGAATACCGATACATAAGAAGCTATAATTAGAGACCCGGCTATAATTGGAGACCCGGCTATAATTAGAGACCCGGCTAAAATTTTAAAATCTTGGTCTTTAGACCCGGCTATATTTGGAGACCGGCTATAAATAGAATGGGGCTATAAATAGAGTATTTACGGTATTTCGAATTTTAGAATTTTAGAATTGCAATTAGGTACTTTTAAAATTAAAAAGAAACTGAACTTATATCTGTTTAGAATTTGTACAGCGATATGTAAAAAAGCTTCTAAGTGTTTGAAAGATGTGTTAATTA